TTTTTTTTTTTTTTTGGTTGCAGCCATCATTGTTGTTTTAGCAGGCCCGGGCTGGATTTGAACCCGCCACCTGAGGTGTATGTGGCTGGTGCCTTAGCCACTTGAGCCACAGGCTCCGAGCTGGTCTTTTGCATCTTAATCCACCCTTTTTCCTCTGATCTCATCACAGCACAGTGGTGCCAGTAAGTGTGTACCAAAAAGATAAACCTGCAGAAAAATAAACTCTCTCTCTGTCTTTACCTTGAAATGTATCTTTCTGTGGGCTGCAGGCCACTATAGTTCCTGTGCTTGCCCACGCCTACACATAGCTCCAAACACACACACCACCTCAATGTGTAAGTCTATCCCTCCAGCTTCTCCCTTCAAGATCCATACTATAAGTTATTGGTTTTCTCTTGACTGAGTTATTTCTAATTGTTTCTAATGCTTACAATGTAGAAATGATAAAACATTTTATAGCATGCAAAATTATTAATTTTAAAAATGAAAAAAAATTGTTTCACCTATGAGAACAATATTTGGGATTTTTCTTTCTGGTTTATAAATTTTCAGATTGTTTGGCTTTGGGACAATTTAATTTAAAAAAAATATGTCCTATAGATGCTTCTAGTTTATGGACAAAGACTCCTGAAGAAATTGAAGAAAAAAGAGCAATAAAGGAGATGTGTTATAAATCAGGTAAGAAATCGAATATCTGTGGATTTTCTAGTACTTCGTGTGGTAAAATATACTAACCGGTGCTTTTCTTGTGGGAGATTAGGTGAATACTACAGATTTCACACTCCTCCAGATATTTCAACGTCAAAAAGCATAGCTCCTACAGCAGAAAAAGAGTTAGAAAAGCCTTTGGAAAATGGCAGCGAATTGCAAGAAGGTAAGAAATTAAAAGGCAGCATTCAGGGTGATGTGTAAGAGATACTTGGTATAACAGGCTGTGAATTATTTAGTATGGTGTACAAGGTAATAGAGTAAAATCATAAATAATACATCAGACTTGAGGGTGGTAAGGAAGTGTTTGTATGGAGTGACCCAAATTTTGTATGAAAAGCTGCTTTCATGAGATTGCCTTTTTCTAGAGAGGCCACAGAATGAGTAGACTTCATAAAGACATGACGACACTGTCCACTCCAAGCAGTAACCCTGGAAATAATTTGCCTTTACAATTTTATTTGTATTCAAAATAATATCCCTGTGTAAGAGGTCTAGGCCTTTCTTTCCGAATAGAAAGAAAAACTTAGCCCAAGAAGAGCTAACGGGCAATCACAGAATGACGCCAGTGGAACAACACCCTTCACTAAAGGAACGTCTTCTGTGTACCAGGCTAGTCAAGGGTGATGCGGGTGGACAGATCAAGGCTCTGCCTCTCATAGAATTTACCCTTCTGTGAATCTGATTTTACTACTGGAAAATATTTTGCCCTTGAAGGCAAGATAAGAAGATCAGTATATTCCAGATATAAAACCAGAAACTCAGAGAAAATCTGTGGGTGCCAGGCGTTTATATAGTTTTCTTGTCCTTGAAATGAGCTTAAAGATGAATTTTGCAGGAGTAGAAGAGATTGAAATTTATTCCTGCTCCTCCAGAAAAAAAAAAAGAAGAGATATTTGGGAAAGTGTCCTAGGTCCAAGATGAGCATGGGAAGTACAGCATGGAGTATTTAAACTGTGATTTTACAAATCTGTACGAGGCAAACTATTTAAACAGAGGGCGGTAGGGGGCAGCAACACACCATCAGATGGAAAAAAAGTCTGCACGACTTAATGGGAATATCCTTCTAGGGAAGAACACTGCAGGCCCGCACTACTTAGATAAGAGGGAACAAAAAATAAGCAATAATAAAAAAGTTAGCAGTGAATAGTAAAAAGGGAAGATTTTTAAGACCATTATATGTACTTTTCCTTGGTCTTATGCTTTTAAATCTTTTTGTTTCTAGGTAGTTTCAGTTAATACCTTTTACACCCTTCACCCAGATTCCCCTCAAATGTTAACATAGCATCTTAACCATGTTCTCCCTCATTCTCTCTTCAGATACACTGTTATTATTATTTTCTGAGCTGTGTGAGAGTAAGTTGCAGACATCATGCCCATTTGCTCTTCCATAATTGTGGTTTAAATATCCAAATCAGGAAATCACCCCTGATACAATATTGTGTACAGCCTTTCCCTCCACCACTGTTATCAATTATGCTATTAATGTCTTTTATCGCAACATGAGTCCTCCCCACGCAAGTCCAATCCAGAATTTTACATTGTCATGTCTTTTATTCTGCTTTTACCTATTTGTTTTAGGAGAAAATTATCTGGAGATATACATAAGGAAAACTGAGAGGATAATTTAATTTTCCTGGTGTAATTAGCATATTGTGGTCGGTAGTGATTCTCATGCTTTTTACTCAATGGTTAATGGTAAACAGCTAAAAGAAATATTACAAAATTTTCTGGGGTCCCGTCCCGGGGGCAGGGTTTGCTAAGACCTGTGGAACTGGTGGTGACCCACTGAAGAAATATAAAGTTAGAAATGACAAGAAAGAGACAACAGTTACAGAATAGAATTTTCAAAGGTTGGAACTCAGGGGACCACTGCCCATTTGTGGGGTGCAGTGATGGCACTGGGTATGTCTGCTCCATTCAGCTTTTCTTAATGGCTATTTGCTCAGAGGTAAGCTGAGGGAAGGAGGAAAGATACCAGCAGTTTCTCTGAGTGAGCATCTCAGCTCCTATTGTTTTTATAATCATTAACTGTAAGGGTCTGAGCAGTCTTGAAAAATCCGGAACATGAGCCGTGTGTGTGGGGCAGCCTCCTGTCTAAGGTCACACATGTGGATTCCTAGGGTGGGGTTAGACTCTGGTAGTTCCCTGTGGAGTAAAACACCACTGGCAGCAATCTCCTCTGAAGAATCCATGGGAGAGAGGAATTTTCCTCTCATCACCACTACAGCGGGGTCTTCCTCTGCGATAAGGGATATAAGCCTTCCTGCCCATATTTCAGGGCTCACGCTGTTCCCTTGATCTCTGCCCAAGCCAAATGCAAATCTCCACAATGGGTATCTGCCTTGTCTGTTTACTGGGCAGGAAACGGCCTAGTTAATGTATCTTTTGGGGCCTTGCCATAGCCTCTTCTAGGCCATTAGTCCTTCAGAGTATTCACAGACCCATGAGGGGTGTTTCTAAGCTGTATGCCTGATAGGCCAGAGTTCTAGGAAAAGCAGGGAACTTGCTCAGATAAGAATTTTAGCAGTGGCTGGTTAAAGGCAAAGTAGCTGAGTTTCCTTAGTTCTGACTCACTCAGCTTACTTTTTAATTTTTCCCTTTTTAGGGGAGTGTTTTCCCTCAATAAGAATAGGGTCTTCGGTCCCCATTCTGCCAGCAAAAATTCACTATATGAAAACACATCAAATAAACTAAAATATATTACCTACATACAATAGAGTTTTTAAATTGCCATTTGATAAATAATCCAAGTAGGAGAATGTACTTTCTTGCTCCTTTGTTAGCAATTGACAAATTTGCTTCAAGTGCATATGTTTATAAACTTGCTGTTCATCAGGTCACTGTGCAGACGACATTTACATTGACATGTAAGCATTTTAGCTTCATACTACATTCTACCATGAACTTCTGATTTAAGCTTGTGATAGTTTCCAGAATGCCTTTCTTTTCTTATCATTTACAGGGGATGGTCTTACAGTTCCAACAAAATATAGCCTTGAAAGGCAAGGTGAGATAAAGACATCACTGGATAGGAAACCAAGGACTGACATTGCTGAAAATGGAGGTGAGTTATTTTATACCAGAAGTAAGTTAAATTAGTACTGATTGATTCTTAATACCATTGCCCTATTAATGAGTTTGAATTTCCTCTCAAAACTAGTTTTGTTTATTTTTTTTTACCTGTTTCATTTTTAACCTAGGGGTGATAAGTACAACACAAAATCAGGTGCTTTCAGAGGCAAGTATATTTGCCAAGCATTCTGTGTGAATTTGTACTCATTGTGCAAGATTTTTCATTTTCCGAATTTTTATGAGAAATCTGGTATGTGTGTGTGTGTAGGTGACTTGAATTCGGGCCATAATGAATCTGGGAATTAAGCAAGTGCTGTAATGTACTATAACAGAGCTATCAACAGAAGAGATAATAAATCCTCTGAGTAAGTCTAGGTTAAGGCGGCTAAGGACAAATATATGTATTATTTGTGCCAAGGCAGAACATCCAATTCTGTGTTATTGCTTAAACATTTTGAACTGCATTTTAGCAGAAACGTTTTGGAAAATTCATCCTTTCACAGAAAATTCTAATCCTTTATTTTAAAAACAGGTAACTTTTTTGAGGAAGAAAAAGTGTGCGGTTGGGTGGGAAGAATGTGTGTGGAGAACAAGGCGATTGTCCTGGGTGTCTTGGCAATACTTTCGGCAGTCCCATTTTCAACCATTTTCAGCCATTTTCCATTGTTTACTTTCTTTTTCCCCCCTGTCTAAGATAGTTTATTCTTTCTTCTTCTTTCATATATTTGCGGCAATTTTAGACTAGCTGTCACAGTTTGGTCATCTTGAAGCAACGTGTTTCTCCCAGTGAAGGTTCCACTGTCTATGACAACCTAGCAGAGAACAAAACTGGCTCCATTTCACCCGACGAATTCTCGTTGTACATTCTGTTGACTATTACTAAACCATAGGGTCTTTTTGGTTAATAAAAGATTATTTCCTTTTTAAAATTCAGATGACTCTGAGGGTACACGTGACTAGGTTATGTTGTTTGTGTTTCTAAGGTAAAGGGCAGGTTGTGGTTGAGCCCTTCATGCGGGGGCTACGCTGTACACCCTACACTGTGCCCCTCAGGTGAGAGCTTACCAGCCCCCCGACCCCTCCTTTCTCTCCCCTCCCCCCACTGGAATATAGTTGTGTTTTTCTCTCCTATGGGTTTGTAGTTCTTTTCCTGTTGGTTTTGTATCAGTATTGAGTACATTGATTATTTGCTTTTCCCTTGTGATAATTTACTAATAAGAAAGTGTTTCAGCTCCATCCAGGTAAATACAAATTTGAAAAGTCTCCATCTTTTTAATGGCTGGATAGTATTCCATAGTGTGTGTGTGTATATATATATATATATATATTACATTTTTTGGATCCATTTGTGGGTTAATGGGCACATGGGTTCCTTCCATGTGTTGGCAATTGTGAATTGAGCTGCAATAAACGTATCTTTGGGATAAAATGATTTTTTTTTCCTTCCTAGTAAGGAGATTGTGGGGAAAAAAAGGAAGGTCTAAATTTAGCTCTTTGAAGATTTTCCATACTTCTTGCCAAACATACTGTATTAGTTTGTGCTCCCATAAAAGTGTTCCCTGCTCTCCGGGCGGTGCCTGTGGCTCCGTGTGTAGGGTGCTGGTGCCATATACCGAGGGTGGCAGGTTTGAACCCAGTCCCAGCCAAACTGCCACCAAAAAAATAGCCAGGTGTTGTGGCGGGCACCTGGGGTCCCAGCTACTTGGGAGGCTGAGGCAAGAGAATCACCTAAGCCCAGGAGTTGGAGGTTGCTGTGAGCTGTGACACCACAGCACTCTACTGAGGGTGATAAAGTGAAATTCTGTCTCTAAAAAAAAAAAAAGTGTTCCCTGCTCTCCACATCCAGCATTTGCAGCTTGGGGACTTTGTGACGTATTCTCACTGGGTAGGTTATAGATCTTGATTTGCATTTCTCTTATGATTAGGGATGATGAGAATTTTTTCATGCATTTGTTGGCCGTTTGTCTGTGTTCCTCGTCAGAGCAGATTCTGTTCATGTCTCTTGCCTAGTGATAGATGGGATTATTTGCTCTTTTTTTGTTGATTAATCTGAGTTCTCTATAGATTGTAGTTGTCAATCCTTTGTCAGATTTGCAACATGCAAATATCTTTTGCCATTCTGAAGGTTGTCTGTTTGCTTTGATTGTTAAATCCTTAGCGGTGTAGAAACTTTTAGCTTGATTAATCTCATTTATTTATGTTGATGTTGCCATTGCTAATGCCATCTTCCTCATAAAATCTTTCTCCAGACTGATATCTTCTAGAGTTTTTCCTTATAATTTTTTTATTTTCCAAGAATGACCTGTTTTTAATTTTTTTATTAAATCATAACTATGTATATTTATGTATACAATGTACTGATTTGACACACAATGTGGAATGCTTACATCAAACAGATTAACGTAACTATCACCTCACTTACTTATTTGTTGCAGTGTGATATTTATACTCTACTCTTAATAGTTTTGAAATGTACCATTGCATAGTGCACAATAGGTGAGGTCCCACCAAAACCCGCCCTCCCTCTCTCTTCCCTTCCATTCTTCCTCCTCTTCCCTCCTCCCTTTCTACACTATATTTGTGTTTTATCTTTCATATGAATGTGCAGGTGATTATATGTTGGTTTCATAATAGGGTTGAGCACATTGGATACTTTTTTCCCATTCTTGAGATACTTTATTAAAAAGAATGTTTCAGTTTCATCCCTGTAAACATAAAAGATGTAAGGTCTCCATCCTTTTTAATCCTTTCACGTCTTAGGTTTAAATCTAATAAAAGATTATTTTCAACCACTGATAAACTGATACTTTCATATCAAAAATAAACTTTCTTTCATATCGTGGCATCAGTAATACATTTTCCACTTGGTAGGGACCTAGAAAATATGAGAACGTCAGTGTCCTTTCATTATTCTGTTCAATAATAGAGTTAGAGTAATAAGCTTGTTGAATCACTGTGCCAAGGGAATGTTATGATTTTCCATCATCTAGGATACTGAGTTTTTGGCACATTCAGACACGTTGATTTTCTAGGCATCATAACGTTATGTACGTTACTATACAGAAAAATCACTTGGGTATAGGTACTACATATGAGAGCAACACAAACACATTTTGACCCCTGTATTGATAAAATGTATTGAAAAGGAAGAGGATCAAAAATTAAAATTGTAACTAATGAATTAATAATATTCAATTCGAAGGAAAACACTTAGATGTTCTCCTTAGTCTTAATACTATTTTAATGTTTTATTAAGCTTGGGCTTTAATCACATCTACAAATCTAAATTTCACATGTATTTGCGTCCTTATTTGTCGTAGTGCAGAATACTCCTCCTTTCCATGTCAGTAGTTCTCTCACAGTGATAACCTCTACTCCGATCTCTATTGCCAGAGGTTAACTTTGCCTTTCCTAGCTTTTACTTAAATAGAAATGTGCAGTGTGAATCTTTTCATTTTTAATCTTGTACTTAACAATGTTAGTATGAGACTGATCTGTGCTGTTGATGGCAGCAGTGACAGTTTTACACTGCTGGAAATATCTATCCGCAGTGTATGTGTGTGTATGTGAACACACGCGAAGGTAAATCCATGCATGTGCACGCAGACAGAGAGTCGCTTCTCATTATTCCCAGTAGTTATGTTCTGTAGGGCTCATGTGAACACTGAATTTGCAAATATTAAACCATTGCTCCTAGGGTAAATAAGTACACACACATTATATACATGTACATATCTCACAGAGATTGTTATTTTAAACCCTAAAAATTACTCATCCTGGTAGACTGTATTTTCTTTCATTTTAAAAAAGAGAAAACAAGGTTCAGAAATGTGTAGGCACTCTCTGAAGACCATCTGACTACGTTTCTTAAACGTTGGGGTGCTGCCCTCTGCTGTCTCCATCCTCTAGTCATCTATATGAAAACTGAAACCAAAACACTAAGCATGGCCATGTTGGCCCTCAGCTAGGGATGTGAGGGTCCAGCTACTCAAATATTTTACCACAGTACATGTTTGTGGAAAACCTCCAAAGCACCATGAATATTGCATGGTGGTTGGATGGACACTGTTGCCAGTTTGGGGCTATTATGAGCATTCTTGTAAGTGTCTTCTGAGTGACACACGAGGCTGTTTTCTTTGGGGTAATCTTACTGTCTATCTTTATCAACACTTACTATTTTCACAGTCCTTTTAACTTTAGCCTTTCTGGTGAGTGGCTAGTAGTATCTCACTATAATTTTAATTTCTATTTTTTTTTGATGATCAATTCTGTTGAGCACCCTTAACATAAAGGTATAAGGTTTATAAATGGCATAAACGTCATGATTATTTTGACTTTTCCTTTTGTCAAATGTGTGGGTTTTTTGGTCAAGTGTGTTTTTCAGTCTCTTTAGCCCATTTAAAAGTGTATTTTCCTTATTGGTTACTCTAAACAAGTTTGCACACTTTCTGCTAATCCATCCCATTCACTAATCCTCTTCCTTCCTATTCCTAAATCCACATACTAAATTCTTAACTTCTTTTTGAATTCCGTACGGGTTTCCTACTTAAATTTCCAATTAGCGTTCTATTTTTATATTAGTAATGTTATTTTTTCCAACTTCCTGTTTCATAATGCTTGCATCTTTTTCATTTTCCTCTGGATTTTGTTCCATTATTCTCTGTATTAGTGTGCCTTCTAATAATTGATTAGATGCTCGACATTATGGCTAAAAAATTACATAGTGTATGAATGACGTTTTTCCACAGAGCGACTTTTCTTTTGGCAGACAGCTAGAGTATCAGCAGGCTGCCTTTATTCTATGAAGGAGTGGTTTTGACTTTGTTAGGATAATGTAGTGCATGATGTATTTTTTCCCCTTTCATTGAAGGTGTAGTTCTTAGTCCTAGGAGAGGCCCTTATCCCTAAAATGTTGCTTTTTGGGGTTATCAGCTAAGAGCAAGGAGCGTTCACCAAGATCTTTCCACTCCAGTGAGGTTCCAATTCCAAATTTTGCCACTCAAGCTGGATGCAGTGTCTGAAATCTTTAACCAGTTCTTCAGCCTTCCAGAAGATGTTTCTGCTTGTTTCCTAGGTTCTGATTGTTCATGAAAAGTGTGGACAAGAACTTAAAGGGAGAACTTCTTTGTTTCCTCCTCTTTCAGATTCCATCCTCCAGTTCAAATCACTTCTACAGTTCCAAACTTTGACTCCTTCCTTTTAGCCTACATGGTTGGTCGTTCTGCATGGTATTTTCCTGCGTGATAAATTAGAAATGCTTTCAGGGAAAATCTATGGTGAGTGTGGAGTTCAACTCATTCTGGGGAATAAACTTCACTTTCCCCCATTGCTCTCCGGCATTACAGTCCTTCTCACTGAGTTATTTTTCAATCAGTTTGTTTTTTGGTAGTTAATAATTGTTTGGGGCAAGAAAGTTATTCAGATATAAGCCATTTGGTCATGGAAGAAACTAAAGTGTTTTTTTTTTTTGACATTTTATTAATGGTTTTATGTAAGCTCTTTAAGGGCAAAGACTATATATAGTCAATCAGTCAAGATAAATATCTGTAGTAGAATTTCTAGCCCGAGATGCTTTCAGTAAATACTTGCAAAATAAATGACGGTTGGCTGAAACATATTGAATGGGTGGATGGAGACATGTTTGTAAACTTTATAGATGACTGAATGTTAATTTGCTGGAACAATAAGCCATATCTAACCAGATAAATTCAAAAAATAAACATAAATTCTTACAGGTTAAGTTCAAGACGTTAATGGTGGCTTTTCTTCAAGTTGGGTAAAATCTGACATGATATAGTTTAAGAGAAGAAAAAACATGTTTTCTGTTGGCCACATGTTTTAAATATGATTCAGTGATGTGTTTCCACTACCAAATAGCTAAGGAAAACTCACAGTGAATTATTAGGAGTAGCGTAGGAAGACTGTTAAATGTGGAAAGTCATCTAAAGTACTCAGGAGAACACATAGAAAATCGCTCCATAAAAGTCAACTCTTTTTGTATTAGTTCCGCTAATTTCTCCACATTTAGGTGTCGTTTCTTAAAGAAGGTTATTTGAAACAAATATGTAATATTAAGAAAAGGCACTTGTATGGTGAAGGATTTGGAAACTTTGTGTATAAGTTATATTTAAAGCAATTCTGGATATATATCCTGGAATGCAGAAGACCTTTAAGGAACATGGAAACTGCTTTCATATATGTGAACATGTCAGATAGAAGACAAATTGTATTTGTTTTGACCATCTCCAGAGGATGAGACTAAAGATTACCATAGTTAATGGACAATTATGTTAAATACGTTAATTTTCTTACAATTATCTAGATGTAAGTTTACAGACTATTTACATACCTTTGTTAACACACATATATGAATCTGAACATATACATTAAATATGATCTGTATAGACATGAGATGGTGCCACTGAGTAGTGTTTAAACAAAAGTGGACAAAAGGGATATTGTAGAGAATATTCCGATGTTGCAAGTTTCGGCCATTATGCCACTGACAGTAAGGTTTTGTCATAGGAGGTGACTGTTACGTTCCACAGAGAATCATATTTCTTGGAGTAGATGAAAATAAAGCTTTAAGTGAAGAGAAAGAAAGCTCCCTGTCGAAATGTTCAAATACTAAAGGTAATTTATTCTATAATTTTCATTCACTTGTAATTTGCCTAAATAAGTTTAAGACAAAGCTTGGTTGTTATAAGAGCACTATAAAAGGGAAAGTAATGAAATCAAAATAGATACTGAACACAGTCAAGACCCTTAAGGTCAAGACCCCCCACCTTTCTCTAATTATGTGCCCATTGGACTTGATCATTTTTTAATTTTTTAGTTTCCTTCCTGGAAAATTAGCCTTTTGGACTACCTAATTTCTGGGAATATTGCTAGCTTTAAAAGGTTTTGGCTTTCTTAAATGGTAATATCAAGTCTTTTTTTCAGTTTGTTTTTCCAGTTTATCAGTATGACTGAATTTTATTAGAAAACATTGTAAACACCATGAAGGGCATTAGTCTTGTGATGGCTTCCTCGTTTCAGAATTATTGCTAACTATACCCTGTGAATAATGATGAGAAATTATATAAACGACGTCCTTTAAAGTTTGATGCCACCCTTACTGTGCTCAGAATCCCCTAGGGGGCGCCGTTCTGTTGGGTCCCTCTCTCAGCCACAGACTAAAAGTATAGCAGTCCTATAATCAGAGGGCTTCCCATCCTCTCCATCAAAATGTAAACCCAAGGAATGAGCTGTTTCCCCCACCATTAAATTTTCTCAAACATAGGAAAAGTGTTTTCATGGAAAATTGTATGTAAATCTCCTTTTTTCAGAGGTGGAAAAGTTTCACCCAAATCCATCAAAGAAACTCTTAGAAGCTAAACCAAAGCAGTGTCCACCAGCCATGGGTGACTGTTTGAAGCTGAGAAAAACCGCAATTCAGTTTTTCACTTGCACTGGCCACATGTCAAGTGCTCAGCAGCCAGTGTGGCTGGTGGCTGCCGCATGGACAGAGCAGATGGACAACTTTTCCATCATCCTGGAAAATCCTGCTGGGTATTGCTGCTCCACAGTCTAGAACAAGCGAAAGTGGTTACATTTTACATAGTCTCAAAACCCCAATGTCATGAAGCCTGTTTAACGTAAAATCGACCACTCTTCAGTTCTTTTGTGTGGCGATATTAAAAACATCCCCAGCATTTGTCATTCACGTATGGAAGAGGATGACATAGTTTTGAATTTTAAAATCTCGTTAGCGATGACCGTTGGGGATCAAGGGGATAACTAAGGGACTTTTTAGAGATGCTTTCCTCGAAAGTAGTGTCCATGTATATTCTGGAGAGGTGAGCCCATCATGTAATATTTGAATAGTGAAATACCAACGGAAACACTTCACTTTACTAATACTGACATTTTATTTTCTTAATTTGCTTTAAAAGATAACCAGGAAAGTCCTCATCCAAAGCGTTCCCTAACTACCCGACTAGCACCTACAGCGCATGTTTTAAATGCCACTGAGAATATCAGTGTGAAGTGCAGAGAGGAGCCCTCTTCAAGTGAGACATTAGCTCTATCACTTTTTGGCCTTAGATATATTTGTCTTATCATGGATTTGTTTTACTTATTTAAAATAGAACTTGAAAAAAACAAGAGAGAGAAAAGACAAAGAAGGTTTAAAAATTAGTCAGGACTAAGAATGAAAGACACAATATTCTTCTACTAACTCTGACAATGAATTGTGATGTAGGTCCTAGTAAATGACATGCTTTCCCACTGGTTTAATTTCGGGATTAAAATTTACACTGCACTAACTCGTCAGAAGATTCACTGGTATAATAATATTTTGAGATTTTATCCACAGTAGAATCCATTGGCATCATTGTATTATGTTTGAGATTATTTTAAATAATCTGGCTTCTCTTTGGTATTCAGTACTGCGAGATTCTTCCTCAATGCAGTTAACACTTGTGAATCTTCCTGATTCCTTCCCTCCTTTCTGTTGTTTATTTGATTTGTTGAACCCCTAAAATATTCTTGGATCCCAGATAGGCACCAATGGGGATTGTGATGACGTGTCCCAGAGAAGCTCAGTTGAGTAGTGCTTGTTAAAAATATGGCTTAAACCTTAGGATTGGTAGAGCGGGAGTGGAGGTGAACATGAGATTTGAAGAGGAGGCCGTGACGCACAGCTTTACTGGGGACATAAAGCTTAAGCTGAGATTGAGAGCCAGGGCAAGGACGGATTTATTAGTTTGCCATAGAGAGTGGAATCTGTACAGTGCTCTTAGCCTTCATGCAGTAGTCACCTATGAAGGTTTCTCACACAAAGAGACAACAGAGTGCCCCTCTCTACCAAACTATTTGAAGGTTCTCTGGAGACATGGTACCTTAGAAATTTCTGGAAACTTGAGAATGCATATATAAACATTTTGATGTAAAAACATGCAAGTAGAAAGTGAACATTTTAACATTCTTAACACCTAGACATTCTCTTATTTATTTGCTCAAACTATCACTTCACTCAGCTTCTTAAGATCTTAAAAGAGTAAGGTACAATGCACTGACAGTATTTTACTTTAAATCCAACTTCTTAAGAAGAGTAGTTTTAACCAAAAAAGTACAAAACAACTTATGTTGAAAATAACGGTTCTAGAACTACCTAATAATAGCATTGTAATGGGATTTATAATTATATTTGGAATACAATTTTATATTCTTTTTATAAATCCACATTCCTTTGGAGAGAAGCATTTTTTTTTCCCTTCGAGGAAAGCTAATTATTGACGGTTTGCTCATCAATCTATTTCCCAGTTAGGTTTTTTTCTGTACTTAAAAATAAATCACCCTGTGTTCTAACAAGTAAAGCGTTAGGGTGGTGCATTTATTTTTTTTCCTCTTGCTTGACATTTGAATGCACAGATATGTAATTATCACCTACAGAAATTTTCAGATAAAAGCATCTCTTAAAAACATGTCAAAATTTGTATCTTCTCTAAGTGAACGATGTCCAGCCAGTGAGGAAGCCTCATTTTAAAGGTGTGAAAAAAAGAAAATGGATTTATGATGAACCAAAGAATTTTCCTGGCCCTGGAATGAGGAGAGGTGAAGTGTCCGTAAATTTCATTATTTCTAAATTGTAATTTTAAAAGCGATCAAATATCAAATATGTTCTATCTGAAAAACAAATCCCTGCCATGCAGCATAAATGTTTGTTTAAAAGTCAACCCAACTCCTCTTAATCACTTTAGTTTACGTTGTGCTATCAAATGCTTAAGTATTATTTACCGGTGTGACACCAGCTTGTTCTGTCCCTCCCTCCACCCTTTCTTTACAGCAGTACAGGCTCCAAATCCCAAAAATAAGATGAGTTATTATCGCAGCAATAAAAACCGAAATGCTGAGAATGCGTCCTATATCCACGTTCAGAGAGACACCGTCCGGACTGTCTCCCTGAGTGCACCTCCCCGCAGCAGGCCCGCAAATGGTTCCTACAACAAAGGTGATGTTAACAAGGAACACAGACTCAACCTCTGTTCAGGTGAGGCCCTTTGCCAGGGTGCTTTACTGCTGTCTGTGGTTTGCATCTCACGAGGCTTCCTAATGGCTTGTTCAACTTCACTGGCACCCAGAGCCCTCTTCTTTCCCAGGCCTTCACCACCATAGTATCTTAGAAACCAGGGAGAGGGTTTACTGCATGTGCGGGAGAGCACAGGATTTAAGGGATGTGGAAGGAAGCTCCCCTGTTGGGTACAGATGACTTGACGTGGGCCCTCCCTAGACTGTTATCTCAGAGCTCTGCCCTTTGCTCCCCTGGATGGCTTTATTTCATTCTGGAGGATTGTTTTTAAATGGTTGACATTTTCTTGTTCTGCTAACTGCCTAGTTCAATTATCACGGTCAGGCTAGCACCTTGGCTTTTCCTTCAGTCTTTACGATTATTTTCTGCAAGGGTTAGTTGGGGGTTAACTGGAATATTTTTGACAACCTCTCATCTCTCCCACCATGTACAGATTGCCTCTAAATCGTTTCATCATGTAACAGGCAGAGTCATAGTACGTGTCAGGAAGCACAGAGCCACACAGGGGAAGGGAACCAAATGGCTTTTTCTTCCCTGTCTCAGACGAATTTTGCTGTTTTGAAGTTGGCTTTTCCGTGTTTTTCCACTTAACCAAATGCCACTCAATTATCTGTAATTTCATGTTTGTGTTTTTCCACGTTCACAGTCTAGTTAGTGGAGTTCTGAATGTTTTGCACTTTTGGAAACATAAGTGAAGACTGTCTTTCTTAGGTTCTTTATTTTACAATTTAAATAGACATTAGCTTATTCAAATTGTTTTCCTATTTCAGAATAGAATGGTATATGGATTTATAGGTAGACAGGGATATTTTCTTGGGTGAAACTAGATTTTAATTTTGTCACTATTACTATTATTTCATTTATTGTTATTATTATCATTTTCATTTTAGCAGAAGTGGATGGCTGTGAAGACTGCAATAAGTATAAGAACAGTTCATTGCTAAAGTCTAGATGTGTGTAAAGATGCTAGTAGTTATACTCTACGTTGTTTTTGTACCATTAGTACAATGTCAACATAGGGAAAAAAGAACATTCTTGATATTGTCGTGGACCATGCATTCGTAACCACAGCTACATAGTCAGACTCGAAATCACAAATATAACATTTTAGATAGTAGTTGAGATGTAGACTTGTCAGAGAAAAGTACGTATTTAAAGATCAGATAAATATGTCAGTGCACTGGTTTCCTTGGGCGGTGAGCTCACTATTGCAGAGTGATCCTTGTGATCATAGAAGTCACTTCACAGAAGGAAATGGGATTTCCTTAGCAGAACTGTACATAGAAACATGGTAAAGCAAGGTGGTGAAATTTTGGTTATATTGAGATATTTTATTCTCCTCTAGCTTAACCTCATGGGTGAGAGCCTTATTTGAGGAATTGGACAGCCAATTAACAGATCAGTAACCATATTCGCTGATAACTTACGTGGTCTTAATAAACTCACTTATATCCCTAAAGCCCAAGCTTTGAAATGATAAAATTAATTACTTAGAGAATAGCTTCACACACCCCGGAGACATTTACAACTTTAATTAATGATTTTAAGGTTATAAAATACTTAATTCCAGTCTTGTCTTTTTACACAGACAAATATATGTCAACATCCTATAATGGCTCAGCCTGGCGAAAAAGAATCCCTTTTTCAAAAACATATTCAAAAACTGAAAAGATATATACAGGTAAATATTTACTGGTGATTTTAATGTGTCACGCAATTCTGAAAATAAATAAGGGTTGAACTTCGAGGAACACATTTTAGAAAACATTAAAATAAGTAATATTTTCAAGATATATATATGTAATTACTTGGATTTTAGTAAAAATATTTTCTATTAGAAACTTAATTTTACTTTACATTATTGTGTCTCTTTTTCCCTAATTGTATGCATTACTTTTGATACAGTTCTTTCCTGGGCAAGAACAAATTATGTAATATAGTTAGGTGTATTCTTTCCTATGCTACAAAGCATATATATATATATATATAAAATGTATTTTGATGCAAATAAGATATTAAAACTTTGCTATGTCTACTATAGACAAATATTGACTGATGCCGGCTGAAAGGGCAACCAAGATGAAATTTCTTGGCCAGGAGGTTCCAAAAGACTTCATTCTCCCCCTCGTGCACTGGGTCTGGAATAGCATAGGGATCCCAGAAACCTTCTCAGGGTAAAGATTTTTAGTAGCCCTGACCTCAGGTTGTTTTTTTGCTCGACAACTTGGTGTCTTTTTCCAGCCTATCTTTTCTTTTGGAAAACCACATAGAATAAAATGCTTTCGTTTACTTCTCTGACAACTGAACCTTTCAGAAGAAGTTCCAGACAAAGGGATCTGACCTAAATAAGTAGCCTAGAACTTTAAGAATACTATGACTATGAAATTCTTGAGTTCTTATACTGGAGCTTCCCAGAATGGGCCAGAACATGTTCATATCAGAAACCTTCCCCTTTCCAGAATAAACAGCTGACATGTGTATATTTATATACAGGTGACAACTGCTATTCCACCATCCTTTCCCTAAGCATACTGTACTGCAAGACAACTCTGCTGCAGTGTTATTGACTTTGTTTTAGCTTTGTATGAATTTTCACATTATCACACTTAATTTTGTGGGAAAAGAAGGTGAAGCGTTGATTAAAATCCTGGGCAAAACCATTAGAGCAGTTGTTGAGCTACAGCCTCTTCTCTGGTGGTTTCCTTTTGGGAGAGATGATACTTGGAGTATTCAGGAATGTGCTCTTCCCCTTATCCCTGTCCCAGTTTCTGATCTTGGATCTTAGTAGCCCTCCCCTCTCCCATCCCAGACAGTTACATGTAAACATGAATTATAGAAGGATTGAGGGAAGGGAGAGTCACTTTGAAAACATAAACTATGTATCATCTATGTCCAGCTCAGAGCATCTGTGTGGATGACTGTGTCACATTTCCCAGATGCAACCTACAGAGAAAAGCTGCCAAGGCAATTTCTCAAGTAATCCGGGGTTGGGGGGAGGAAGCCACAACATAGGAGGACTGTTGACAGCATCTTAAGATTTCCAAGTGCCAAAGGTGCAGGGGAGGACAGCGCACATTCCTGTGAGCTCGAGTGGGAAGGAGTTCCTGGGGGAGGGGACCAGTGCCTCTACGCAAGGTCTTCCAGCTGGGATTAAAGGGATGAATACCAGAAAAAGGCTGTTGTTGTTGAGTCCTATTGGAGTGGGGAGATGCTTACTATAATCTTAACAGATTGCCTGTGCCAGAGAACCAGAGAGAAACCAACCAAGAATCCACTGACCAAACCCTTGTTAATTAGAGCATGGTCTGAGGACTAACAGTGATGACATCACGTGGGAGCATGTTTGAAATGTGGACTCTGGCTCAGCACCTGTGGCTGGCGGGTTCGAATCCTGGCCCTGCCAAACAACAATGATGGCTGCAACCAAAAAATAGCTGGGTGTTGTGGCGGGCGCCAGTAGTCCCAGCTACTTGGGAGGTGGAGGCAGGAGAATCACTTGAGCCCAGCAGTTGGAGGTTACTGTGAGCTGTGATGTCACTGCACTCTATCCAGGGTGACAGCTTGAGGCGCTGTCTCTAAATAAATAAATAAATAAAATGTGGACTCTCCATGTCAGACCTGCTGGATCAAAATCTGCATTTTAACAGCATCCCTGGGTATTAAGATACACATTAAAGTTTGAGAAACCTTAGACTAGGTTTCTGGGCCAGCATTCAAGGGAAGTAGGAGCCTTGCACAGAACCCAGATTTGTCAAGGGAAGTAGGAGCCTTGCACAGGACCCAGATTTGTCAAGACTGTTAAAATTATGTCATCTCGGTAGCTCTCACTAGGCAGCACCCATTCTCTCTTGTCCCAACCTCAGAAATTAGGAACAACAGCAGGGAGGTGAGGTAGGGAGAAAACCCGGGGGAAAGAATTTTAAATCTGAATATGATCGAAAAAAGGGACTAAGAAATCCCTGAGCTTATGTGGAAAGGACTACACAAATTTTGTACATCAGGAAGAATAGGGACATAAAATTAAAAAGCTTGATCTTGTGGGTGGCACCTGTGGCTCAAAAAAGTAGGGTGCTGGCCCCATATGCAGGAGGTGGCAGGTTCAAACTCAGCCTTGACCAAAAGCTACAAAAAAACAAAAAAAGCTTGATCTTATAATAAAATAATTTGTTTCCTTATTTTTCTTTTGATTGGGAAATTTATAACCTAGTAACTCTAGGAAGAAAAGGACTAGCTCGTGTTGTTCCCCACGTATTCCTGCCAGGGCACAGAGTGGCAGTTTCAATATTTCCCCGTGGACAGATGGACTGTTGCAGGGAAGGAGGTGGAGGACCCAGGCTGCCATTAGTCTGTTCCTCTAAGGGTTTGAAGCCAAGGCCACAGAAGTGTAAATGGGCAGGAGGAGCCTTTTGGGAAAGTGTCCTGGGATGCTATGGGCATAGCACACAATAGGAGAGGAAATGTCTATGGGAATTAGGGTGGGAACCGAATGCATCTGGAGGTGTCACTCTCCCTGGAAGCCTGCCTTTGGGACCAGGCGTCCTTTCTGGTAGTAGGAATACAGTGAGTGTGAGTGGAGGTGCCTGTCTCCCCACGGTGCGTCTTTCATCTATTCACTGAGCGTCCCACGGTGCTTCCTTACTTGTAGAACTCTTTCCATGTTTTCACCCCTCCATCCACATGCAAAACACAGTAGGCATGAAAAGGAAGTGGATTAAGTTTGAATGGTATTCTGAAAATGTATGAATTAAAACAATAAGCTGAGTTTTCTCGTTTTGCCTTTACATTTATGGCAAACCCTGGTGCCCCGAGGAAGGCCGAAAACAGAGAATAATTGAAGTATTTTTGTGCATTTTATTCTTAGAGCCAAGAAGAAATGGGAGCAAGTAAACCTGGAGGTTGAGAGAAGAGAAAAATGAGAAAAGAGAAAAAAATGCCAGACATCGTTTGATTTATAATCAAAAATGAAAATTCAAAGAATGAGATACTCAAGTCCTCCATACTATATACTGGATAGGCCAAAGATGATAAAAATGCCAATTCTGAAAATAAGATGCAGGAAGTACATTGTGCTCTTTCAAAAGCGATAAAAATGCAAATTACAAACAGCTGCCTGTGTATTTAGTAGGTTCGGAATTCATTCCATGCATTACCGCAGACATTTAATAAAATTTAAAAGTTTGACAATTCAACTCATTCTTTAATTGTACGCTAAGTCAAATTGCACAGATTGAGAAGTAAAATTGTGCCTTTCATCTCTGTTTTGCAACGCTCTTTATGGAGGAAAACTTCCTTTTCCTTTACCTAGATTTTAAGCTGGGCCCTTAGCAATGATAACACATAAAGTGTAAACAAAATTCAGCAAAATCCCAGAGTTACGGTTTGGTGATAAGTACCTTAGAAGAATTCCAATAGAAATACATTTTCATATGTGGCAGAAAGGCACAAAGATTGAATTATTATTCAGGGCAGTTACTGAACAGTATCTTTTAATTGGCAACTGCAAAACCTATCTGCTGAGGTGTGCCACATTCAAAACAGGAATATGAAACTTATCCTACCCTGAAAATAAAGAATATATGATTGTATTGGAGAAAAGGATTTATTGTGCTCAAGAAAAACAGTGAGGTAACCTCATGATGTCTCCAAAGTCTTGGTTAAGTTTGAAGGTGTTAATAACACCAGAAGTGTGAATACTTAGAAATGCAAGAGTGACATCAT